TTCGTCGATGCGATTTATTAGTTCGTTTGAAAATTTGTCCATGATATATCCAAAAACCGACATTCAGTCGAACTGTCGCACAACCCATCGCATCGAGGCATTGACGTAACGCATCAGCGCATAGTGAGTAATGGGCTTTAACGTACAAGTTAACAAATAGACTTTTTTAACTTTGTTAATAACAAAACTAAAACATAGAAATAAAACATTGAATATTTATAGCTACTTTATTATATTATATATGTGAGAAAACGTTCTTTGTGGGCAATTACATTCATGACAGGATATAGTAATAACAATAACATATGGTTATTAGTTATTCTCATAATATGAAATATTCTTAATATTAATCACCACCCATACAAACTATATCTCAAGCAATGTTCATTTTTAAGTAGGTACATTAGTTAACTGTACTGTATATATTTAATATTATTCATTATTATGTATCAAGTGTTAATTATTTTAGCTGGTTTTAGAGTTTTATTATTTTTCTAATAGACATGGGTATAAATATCTATAAATATTTATTTACTAATTTATTTAATTTCTCCAAAAAGGTTGTTAACCTAATTCCATAAAATATCTAGAGAGAAAACTAATAAAAAATTGACTAAGATGAATAAAAATATGAATTTAAAATATATTTTTTCTACCAGATACAAGTTACTTAGAAATAAACATTTTTTTTGTATTAATTACTTACTTTTCTTCTTGATATTTCGTAAAAATTGATTAGATTTATTTAATTATTTTTAAAAAATAATTAAAAAAGTAAAATATTTAGGAAATAACCTTGCGGTTTTTCTAAAAATAAAATCAGTTCTAAAATAATAATTACAAATGTGTCTCTCAGAAGTTAATTTTAGAAGAAATAAAGTGACACATTTTTTTTACGACAAAGTCAAGGACGTAGTACAAAAATAGTTCGAAAAATTATATTTCATTAAAAATTATTTTTTTAATAGCTCACTAATAGCGTTGATTGAAATAACCAAACCACAGTTCTTTCAATCAAAGCTAATAGTTTTAAACCTCAGAGAAATATTAGACATTAAGATTTTCAATATTAGAAAACTAAGGTTTCGTGAATTTTGTCATTTTGTTAAATTACTAAGAATGGTTCATTTCAAAAAGCGTACAAGCACTTTTATCACACTGAAAGATTATTTAAATTGCATTGCAAATTTCGCATTACGAAACTTCAAATGAATCAATAAATTTAAATCCTACCTTATAAGGTATTTTTATTAAAAGAAATCATGAAATGTTAACAGTTGGAAAGTTGTACTTTTGAAAATGTAGAAAGAACGGAGCATTTTTAACAGTATATAATATAATATCAAATTTAATGTATTTTAGATCATTATCTATACTAATATCACCTGCAGATCTCAAAATCTAAAGGACAGCATTTTTCCCTTTATATCTGGTTTGTGGATAATTTCGTTTTGTACAGTAAGCTTGTCATTTAAATCAATTGTGTGATATTTAGACCAAAACCACAAACCAAAACAATTAAAAATAGAAACCAAAAGTATAAAAAAATATATAAAAACAAACCACCAAATAGATTATTTTAGATTGTCTCGCTTTATTTTAATCCAGTCAGTTTATACACTTCAATCAAGATCATATATCGGGTGCGTCTCAAAAGTGGCTCGCCCCTATAACTTTTTAACTTTTTTAGATAAAAAACGAGATTTGGTATGTTAGTACATGACATAAATTAGGATTGATTGACGCATTCAATTGTTTTTGATCACATCCAGTTTCAGCGGAAATGACTACAGCTTTTGATTTTTAAATGACACCCTCGGTATTTTTTACTTTATTCGATAGAAAGTCACATTCTGAATACAATGACATATCATATGTAAACTTTTGACATTTTAGCTTAATAAAATATCGTATTTTAAATTTCAATCTAGAGCGTCAATGTCTAATTCTAAATCAAGGAGTCTTGGAAAAATACATTTGATCGTCTAATGTTTTTAGTGTCTTGTCATGGCCGGTTAAAAAATGCCCAAATTGTATTTTTAATCATATCTTAATTCTTTCAAATGGAACTAGGATGGCTCATTAGCATATTTGGAAAAGGTATTTTTTGCGAATAATTTGATACTATACACTTGGTATTTCGAGTCAAATTTTCGTTACGAACCGGTTATAGTTTCAAATAAACCATATGTCAAAATATCAAAAGTTGACATATGATATGTCATTCTGTTCAGAGTGTTATTTTCTATCGAATAAACTAAAAAAAATACCGACGGTGCCGTTTAAAAATCAAAAGTTGTGGTCATTTCCGGTAAAACAGGAAGTGACCGAAAACAATTGAATACATCAATCAATCCTAATTTATGTCGTATAGTAATTATATATATTCACGAGTATATTTTAACTGGAAAAATAAAAAAAAAGTATAGGGGTGAGCCACTTTTGAGACACACCCGATATTTTGCTTCTAAAATGTTACCCTTCTATACTAACTGCCTGAACTACAGTAGACTTAGTATATATAGAAGACATCTAATCCTGTATTTCCAAGGTGTGACCTCGGTATAAAATAAAAATAAAATAAATTATCTATGACAAAACGTTATTTTAACAATATAAATAATATTCGATGCCCTTAGAAGAAAGATTAACCCGGATTAGAGATATGAATTACTGTAATTACTAACTGTTTCTAGTCGGTTAAATGGTATTATTGTTTCGAGCACTCGAAGCGTGGAAGAAATCCCAACACTATTACAGGGTGATCCAGCCGATAGTAAATTATATTTGAGATATTTGTAATAATTCTTAAATAAAGTTTGTTACTGTTTGGATCTTTTGGTATTTACTTTGATTTAAATCTTATTCAGTATATGTATTATTAAACAGGGTATTTCGTAAGCGCAGTAAATAATTTTACAAGGTGACATCTGTTAATAACAATTAATTATGTACAGTACCAGTTTTATTCAAATATTTTTAAGTTACTTCTTTATCTTTAATGGTTTATATTAAAAAAAATGGCATTAAATTATATTCTGACATAGCAGGACTTATTTCTAAAATAGGTACCTACTTTAGCAGATCTAAACTCAAAAATAAAAATAATAAAAATGACGGTATCTGTAAAAATCGTTTTTAAAATCTTATATTACTAAATTCAATATCCTACAACTATAAAACTTATTATTATACTCTTACATTTATTATACTTTATTTTTCTTTTAAAACTACCTATTATTATTCAATAAACTGAATAATAATATTATATGACCACCAGATAAATATATGTCATACAAATGGACACAGAATATTCTGTGTTACCTGTGATATCTATTTTTTGACAAGTTATTGTATTACTATTGCTATAATTATTATTTTCCTTTTATACTACTAATTAGTAAATACATTTTATATGCATCTACTGTTTGACCAGTGGATCTGAAGCTACGAAAGGAATTTAAGAAAAAAAATTGGCGCCGGGAGGCACGTATAGCCGCCCATACTAAAATATGTTAATATCTCGAAAACTGCGACTTTGACTGATTTTGATGTTATTACGAATATTGTTGCAAATATTATTCCTAATCTTAATTTGATAACCACGTTTCGCTAGCTACTGCAATTTTGGAGTTACGATTTTTTTAAATTTTTAACCCCCTCCCATACCCCCTTACCAACCCCCCACCCCCACCATAAACTAATGGCCAAATTCTCGGGTGCCACAGTATTTTTGTGCCAAATTTGGTTAAAATCGGTTCAGCGGTTTTTGAGTTATCGTGTTACAGACGGACAGACGGACACACAGACAAACAGACAGACACCATAAAAATATTTTGTATTTAGGTCATTTATGACCCAAATAACTCATTTTGAGTGAAATTAAAAATATATTTTTACGTATATTACTAAGGAAATTTAACGTAGTATGTAGTATACTGGTCGCAGCTGGCGTTTCCTAATAATATTGAATCAAATTCTGGCCTCCGCGACCGGGTTGTCAGTGCGTTTGAGCCCTTATAATAGACTTTTTTGGTTTAAATTATTTTTGGAAGTGTCAAAAATATTCAAGTTAATAAAAAATGTTTAAAATATACATAAAACACATTTTTAAACACACACAACATTTTAAAAATTGTTAAAGCTTTATATTTAAAAAAACTTTAAAACTGTCATGCAATCAGCGGTTTAAAAAAAACACTATGCGATTCTATTTTATTTAATTTTCATTTCATCAAGATCATGCCATAAATAACACCACACACGTAATAAGGTCAGTGTCAAATGTATTTAATTTTCACCTTATATAGATTGGAAAAATAAGATTAAGATTTAAGTTTATTTAACACTGACCTCAGTTTATTAGTCGTAAACATATTTTTTATGTTTGTAATTATAATTAATGTAAGGAATTATTTGATTTACATTTTTCGTATATTTTTAACATATGTCTTTCAACATACATATGTTATAGGAGCGAGGTGTAAGTAACTAAAAAGTCGGTATTTTATTATTGTCTATAAAACTCAAACGTAAGAAAATGCAGACAGCAAGATCGCGAGTGTCTTGCTCATAACTTGCTATAAGCATACTGGGTCTTGGTCTTGGTCTTGCAGATCCAACACAAGTCTTAGCCTTGGCCTTGCTTTATGCGAAACACCAAGATCAAGACTGCAAGACCAGTAACGCTCATTATTAATTACAAATCATAAAACTTAGCACTGATCGATTCAAATCAAAAATGAGTTAAAAACACAATTTAAGAGCCCGTTTAGCTTTATTAACTCACAATCGTATACAGAAAAATAAAACACTGAAGTGCGGAAATACATGCGACTGACCATTGTCTCCGTTTAACATACAATTAGCATATTTCTATAATCACAACACCTAATAGCCGCGAGCCACAAGCCCCAGCCGACTTCTATGACGTAAAAATTACGACGGTTCCCCTTCTTAATGTCCCCCCCGATACCCACGTTCCCCAACCTGGCCTGCTCGATCTCCGGCACTGTTGTTTCTGGTGCGCTCGCGACTCGCGTTTGTTTCGACAATCGAACGTCGCGTTATTTTGTTTTTTTGCAAAGGCGCGAGGTGCGTTTGTTTTTCCTCTCCACCCACGCGATGACAAAAGGGCAACGTCGTCATGGGTAACAAGATGTGTAAGAAGAAATCGGACGCAGTAGATGGAGATGTGAGGAATACGAGAAAATCGCCGTGGAAGATTGGGAATATCATCAATAGAATCAATGTAAGTTGAGTTCTGGGATTGTAATGAGAGATGAGGTCATCATGAAAGTGAAATAATTTGTTTTTGTTGATCGTTGCCAATTAGCTCTAAGGTTGTGGACCGAAATTATATATTAGGAATACATCATTGTTTATTTTAGTGTACAGATGGGTTGGTAATAATGAGAGATGCAATCATTATGAAAATTAAAATAAAATACCAATTAGTTTTACTGGCTATCATCAATTATAGCCTTGTAATGGCTATAGTGCTTTGTAGTTTAGTCAAAGTATTATAGTGCTTAGTCAGTGAGTTAAGAAGCTCGTAACTCACGCATTTTGAGTGAGTTAAGAGCTTCTTAACTCACGCATTTTCATTACGGCATTCCTTGTTTAGATGACTATCAAAGAGAAAAAATATTTTGTAAAACATCTATTTTCCACTAAATTGGAAAATATATTATGAGTACCTTTTCATTTCCATAGTTGTGTACTTTTTTTTCGGTGTACTTTTTTTTCTTGAGCTTAACCATGTCTATCATAAGACCTCTTATGATAGTGAGAGTGGATTATTAGTTTTTGAAGTTTTTGTTAAATTTAATACAATATAACAAATACCTAAACATTTCAAACAAAGGAGGAGCCTGATTTGATGGGATTGGTAAAAAGAGGGTAATCTAAAAGGAAATAGGAAGCACTCAAACCTCTAAATCGTCATCTTAGAAGAATGTGGTAGTACTTCAATAAGTAAGGGGTGGTTCCCCTTAAATTTCTCGTAGTATGTAGTAGACTTTCCGTCTTATTGTAACCTTCTCCTTTTACTGTTTACATTCCGTGCAGACCAGTGCGACAAATAGCTTCATTTTGTGAACGCGTCAATTACTACTAAGAATAAATCATGCATTAAAATTTTTCGCATTTCTTTTGAACCACCTTATATATTACTAATCATATTCATTCATGATATAATAGAATTGTACAATCAAGTTTTCTGTTAGATAAATTGAATGAGTTTGGAATTATGGAAGGTGAGATCACCAGGAATGTGAAAAATATAATTTGTTTTTATTTTTTTATTGTGAATCATGTGGTTGTAGTGCAATTATCATCAATATTTAACTTGGTAGTAATCATGATAGACGAGAATTATAGACTGTGAGATAACGTCAAGAAAGTAAATTAATTCTTTTTTGTTATGGATCAAAAATTAGTGGCCTTGTGATGGACACAGTGCGTGGTAGGTTGTTCAGACCATTAAAAAAATATGATGGTAATCAGATAGTCTAGGCAGTGCTTATTTTAATAATATTATGGCTTGGATTCCATAAAAGCTTCAAATTATATAAAATCAAACAGTTTACGTCAGCATACAGAGTGTCCTAAGTATAAATATAGTGGTCAAGAAGTTGTAGACGCAGGAACAGAAAAAGATAATTTTTTGCAACAAATTCAAAACACCCTGTTTAAAAAAAATGGGACGCTCATTTTGGATAAAAAAAACACTTTCTTGTAATCTTAGATGTATTCCTAACATTTATTTTTTTAAATTATCCTATTATCTCTATTCTTTTATGAGCTACACATTTTTAAATAAAGTACTGATATTTTTACAATCTTGAATTTGTTAAAAATGGAACTCTCAATGACCTCCTTGCTCCTTTCATTGGAAATCAGTTTTTCTGATGCATGATAATGCCAAGCCCCACGTTGTGCAGGGTAACGAGTTGAAGGATGAGTCACAGTACACCGGACCGTGCCTGAGCCGGGCACGTTCCGTGAAGTAGACACCGAGCCACGTCCGATCCTTCTGTATATGCAACACCGAGTTGATAACGGGGTTCGTATTAGTTCCGAGTATATTAGAAAACACAGCCCCATAGACATGCGAAGATTTAATACGAACAATGACAAAGTTCTGGCAATTGGAATTGGTACCAATTGCAGTTGATGAATAAAGAACAACACCTAAAGAAGGACCTATCTTCTTCATTACATCCTTTCATTGTCCAGTTTTACGCCTGTCGTCAAATACTGCTGTAAGATTCACTAATACTTACTACCGAGATGTTAAAAAGTGTATTTTGTTTATATCACGACTGCAGATTGCAGTCGGGACACCAGGAAAAGTACATTCATGCTTTCCGCAACGTGGCGGGAACGGAGCGGATCCGAGAAAAAAATGTACGCCGACATTTCTGGGAAGGCGCACGGACTAAAAATGTGTAGCTCATAAAAGAATAGAGATAATGGGATAATTCAAAAAATGAAATGTTAAGAATACATCTAAGATTACAGGAAAGTGTTTTTTTATCCAAAATGCCCGTCTTATTTTTTCCACAGGGTGTTTTCTATTTATTGCAAAAAACGTTTAGATTTACCCCGGTTTAAACCCACCTAACCGAAGAATATAAGCCATTAAAATAATAAAAAATAATGCCAATAAATTTATCTTCATACTGATACCGTAATCATAAAAATCGGATTACCAAATAAAAAGTTATGAAACATGAAACTTTTTCAAATCAGTCAAATTTTTAGTGACGGAATTTTGTGCCGGAGAGTATATTATATTCCTTTCTAATTTTCCCTACTATCTTTATCGATCTCTGATATTTTTTCTTATCACCGAACTGATAAAACATTCACCAAGGTACCCTCATTTTTTCTAGCCGATATTTAGAAGCCCGAGTGAATCGGGAGCATGTAATTTCTCTACGGCCAAACACCCAATTCCGTATTTGTTTACAGTTAGTCTCGCCTATAAAACTAGTTATTAATACGAGCTAGTTATTTGGTACGACCAGCAGCTCTCGATTCACTATAATTCCGAACAATCTCTTCTCGGCTGGGTTTTGTTTTACCTTATACCTGTGCTTATACCATCGCCGCATTGACCTCAGGTTAATAAAAATAAAGGTAGAAACTCTATTTTATCCAAGTATGCTCCATAGAGTGTGTATCAGCCAAATGAATTAAACTTGCGCCCATTAAACTTCCGCCCATGCCGAAATTGATTCCAAACGATTCATAATTAAGAAAAATTCTGATGATTTTGTCCATATAGAGGCATCGGTAGAATGTTGCCTTCTTTTAGCAATTTGACCAGATCATGTAGTAGTCTTAGGTTTATGAGATGAAGAAGGAAAATTTAATACTGACACAGTGTCAAATTTTAAATTGCAGCCAGTTTTTTGGATTGTATTGTAGCAACCTCTGTTTCATTAAAATTTTGAAGCTATCAGCAAAATGTATGGAGCCGACACAAGCTAAAATAAATGAACTATACCGGGTGTTGCATCGTCGGACGGGACATAGGAAATCCAATGTAAATTTTAATGGGGTCAATTATTGGCTTTCCTAATTATTTTAGAGAATAATTCTATTTAGGTTTATTGAAGAGCACTAAAACCCACATTCAAAAGAATGACTTTAGATATTTTTGATTAGCTCGTTTACGAGTTATCGCCGATTTCTTTTTAAATATTTCTCCTTTCTTATGGCCCTGTATTTACTTATGAACACCAGTCAAGGTAAAAGATAACTGTCAAATGGAGTTGTCATTTCAGAAATTTACCTATTTAGCGCTTTATTATTATTGAAAACTCATTCCTACATCGGAAATCTTTAAGATGTATTTATAAATACAAATTAATATGAATTAAAGTAAAATAAAGTAATCAATTACAAGATTAATTATAGTATTATTACAATGTTCAATAACTTATTAATTTAGGTACTATTAAATTGTTAGAACTTTAGGATTAAGAAGATGTTCAAATATTCCTCCATCGACTGCTAGACAATAACCCAGGCGATCATAAAATTCTCTTCTTACATTCGCTAGTTGGTAAACTGAAATTCTATTGCATTCGGCAGAAATAGCATTTTTTAACTCGTTTAGATTTGGGTATTTTTTATCCTTGTATATCCTGTTTTTTAAATGGCCCCAGAGAAAGAAATCATTTGGCGGAATATCAGGAGACCTTGCTGGCCAATTTACTGTATGATTTAGGCCAATAACGTTTCCGTTAAAACTATTGTCTAAATATTCCCGAACAGCCAAGGTACTATGTGCCGGGCAGCCATCCATGTGTTACCAAACTTAATGATTTTTCCTAGCGGCATCATGTAAAGCCGGTAAAATATGATTTTCGAGTAGTTCCAAATAATATTCTGCATTTAAATTTCGCGTAAGAAATAATGGCCCGATAATATTGTGTCCGAATATCCCTGCCCAAACATTTACAAAAAAATTTCAAAACAAAACGCCTGCCGCCGTATTTCGTCCCCATCTCGTAGCTCTTGGTGCTTTTCATATTTGAAGGAATAGTATTTATGTCGTATCAAAATTCGAAACGCTGTAGTGTGATCTATTCCTATTTCATCCTCAAGTTTCCTTGTGCTGATCTTTCCATCGTTCTCCTCCACGCACAATAAAACTTCCAAGTCGTTATAATTTCTTGCATCTCCTCTTTGTTCCTGCCTTACTTCACATCTGCAGTTATTTATTAGGGTACCTTTGGTCTCAAATCTCTGGATATTCCTTGCGATTGTAGATTTTCCAGGTATCGGTCTATTCGGATACAGAACAGCAAACATGTCCGACACCTTTTGATAACTATTTCCTTGATAATACCAATTAATCATCAATACTTTTTCTTCGGTAGTGTAATTCATGGCTAATATTTTCGATGTAGGCATTAGTTTTTTATAATAATAATAAAGCACTAAATAGGTAAATTTTTGAAATGACAACTTCATTTGACAGTTATCTTTTGCCTTGACTGGTGCTCATAAGTAAATACAGGGCCATAAGAAAGGAGAAATATTTAAAAAGAAATCGACGATAACTCGTAAACGGGCTAATCAAAAATATCTAAAGTTATTCTTTTGAATGTGGGTTTTAGTGCTCTTCAATAAACCTAAATAGAATTATTCTCTAAAATAATTAGGGAAGCCAATAATTGACCGCATTAAAATTTTCATGGGATTTCCTATGTCCCGCTCGACGATGCAACACCC